TATGTATATGTATATGTATGTGAATATATATATATATGTACGCACATATATACATATATACACATATGTATATACTTAACTGTTGAAAGTCTGTGTTTGATTTGTATATTAAATGCAGCAGTCCTGTGACGCGCATAGACAGCCAGCCCAAGCACAAGTTCTCAAGATCCGGCTCCGGCACCCCGAGGCTTCGAAGCTCCGCCCGGGCGCCCTCCACGCATGCGTCCGAGACGAGCACCAGGAAGATGCGATCCAGCAAGCCTACCTGGCTCCAGGATTGGAGGAACCTGCAAGGGCGGCTACACACTGCGAAGATCGAAGGACCAACTGCAGCGGAGAAGCCCACTGCTGCCGAGCAGCCCATCCAGCTTGCCCGAGGCCTTTCGAACAGCAACGGCGTGATGCGCCGGCGAGGCCCGCAGGAACTCGGGGATGAAGCTGCTGAAGCTGTCCTCCTTAAACCAATCCTCGGCTCTCCGATTTGGCAAAGCATCCAAGCCCCAAAGCTCCAAGCTGAACCTGAAGCCGTGAGGACCTATCCAAAGCCGAGCCTCGCCGTCCCAAAGCACGCAGTCGAAGCCCTTTGCCACCTCCCAGGCCTCGCCGGCGAAGGACGCGCCGAGCCCCGAGCCGAAGCCCTTCATCGCCAGCAGCTTCCCGAGCCGATTCCGCGTCGCGAAGTCGCGGAAGGCCACCTCGCATTAAAGGGAGAGGCCTACTCCAACTCTCAGACAAGGCAGGCACCACAAAATGGTATAGTAGAGTCGAGTAGCACAGTGTGTATGCTGACGCAGTATAGCATAGTCTAGTCCAGATCCTAAACCCTAGACCCTAAACCGTTGCAGTAGAGCCTAGTCTAGTCGAGTCTAGTCTGTCTAGGATATGCTAGTATACTTAAACATGCATTACGATCGCGTACTGTAATGTAGAGTAGTATGTATGTATGTATGTATATATATATATATTAGTTTGATGGGAGCTGTGTATTACTTGTAACATATATTTGTAGGTATTGGTATATGTTGGTGCATACAGTATATACTATATGGTATATATTCGCATATATTAGTACATAAAGTATGTATGAAATATTGTCTAGCAGTCTAGCATAGGTTATGTGGGTAGTCCTCTAAACTAGGGTCCCTTTTTCGGTCCCCAATAAAGTACGGCACCCTTCTAAAAAGGAGCCTTTTTAGACCCCAATTTAGCGAACTACACCTGTGGTATATTACCTTATAGGATTCTAAACATAAACCATAAAAGGAACTACTTAGGGGCCTATGGGTATGTCGTACAATGAGAGCTCTACCTGGTCGAAAGTCCCCTAAACCGTATATAAACCCTAAACCCTTTTTAGACCCCAATTTAGAGAACTACACCTGAGGTATATTTGTAGCACCCGAAACTCTAAACCCTAAACCCTAAACCCTTTTTAGACCCTAATTTAGAGAACTACACCTGTGGTATATATGTAGCACCCTAAACCCTAAACCCCAAACCCTAAACCCTATATGGGTATGTAGTATATTGAACTACCCCTATAGAACCCGTGCAGAGACCCTAATAGAAACCCTTATGGATTCCTTTAAGGAACCCTGAAATAAAAGGGTGTGGTATATTCAGAGCTCTGCCTGGTCGAAAGTCTGCAGCTCCAGGAGGCCGCGAAGCTCCGCCACGCCCGCCGTCGCCATGGAAACTTCGGCTCAGCGCCGTCCGAAAAAGGGCTTAGGGGCCTTGGGGGTTTAGGGTTCAGGGCTCAGGGCTTAGGGTGTTTGGGTATAGGTTTAGGATGGTTTAGGGTTTACGTCGCTGCGGCCTTTCGTCCTCAGCGTAGAGGGTTGAGCGGTTCTGGATACAAAAAGCTCGCGTGTTCTCTGCCTGCGTTCATGGAATTGACAGCGTTATATAGAGGTTAATCGTCACAGATCATCATGTATCTCAAACCGCAGACTGGCTCGCTCGAGACCCAACAGCTGCACGCACTCGCAATTGCCACTAGTTCCTGCTCTGCTGAACCTGTGGAGCCCGGGTCAGGCAAGCACCGTGGAACCAGATATGTTACTCTATTACATTGTATTATTATATCGTATTATATTATATTGTATTATATTATATTCTATATTATATTGTAATATATATATATATATGCCTCCAGGACCATATTGGCGCGGTTCAGGTTCCGGGAAGCTAGTTTGACTCAGTTGTGGGCTTGCAGGGGCGGAAGGCGGTGAGGGACCAGAAATGCTTGTCCAAGCCAGCCCCACATGCGTCTTTCACACTTTCAAACCCTGAAAGTGCGCATGCCGTGTATGGGGCGTGGGCTCGGAATGCCGCACGACGGGCCGATTCCGTCTTGTCAGACATGCATCCAGGCCTGATCGGAAAACCGTCAAAACACCTCGTGTGCGCTTGAAACCACCGGTCGGGCTTTGCAAGCCCCCGTGGGCGCATTTTCAGTCGTCTCCGAGCAAACGTGTCCGGCACTTGGCTATCAGCTATCGGTTCAGGAGATGCTTGCTTCAGCAAGATCTCCATTTAAAACGTTCCGCGGAATTCGCTTCGAGAACAAAGTCAATGTCCCGACCTTCGGGGCCCGATGCGATGCGGAATCATCGTGTTGGAGTCGCGATCTCTGAAAATACTTACGTGCCTGTCTGTGAAAAAAGCCTCTTCTGAGAAGCCCCGACCCAGCTCCCTTAGGCTCTCTTTCACGAATGATTCCGGAGGCTTCGGGTCACTCTCTATAAGCGCAGACCCCCTCTCTTTGAGAGTCGCGACAGCGGAAACCGAACTGCGAAGACCTTCAGAGCATTCCTCGAACGCATCCACACGGTTCGAGGTTCTAAAGGCGTCTGCTTACAGGAGCTTTGAGGGGGATGTTCGCTGTGCCGAGGGCTGCACGGACAGAAAGGCGGGTGTCCCGGAACAGAACTGCTGAAAGCTGCAAACTGCTCGAGGAACCGTTCAGCTGTCGCTTTCTCAGCCGGGGTCTGCGTTCTGTACAGTAGGGAAAGATCAGCCTTGAGCGTGCCATCGTTCGGCACCATGCGAAGAGGCCCAGCACAGTTGCCACGGTCGCTAAGGACAATGGTACCACGGCAGCTAGCAGACTACCCTGTGTTCTCTGTCGCTGTTTGTCTTTGCTGAGCATGACACTCCTAACGGCATATTGGAATCGAAGCCTGAGCACCTTCAGACCGCTTTAAGCGCACGAAACAATGGCAAATCTTCGCCCGAGATGCTGACCCTTGCTATTCTGATCCTACGGTAGCAGCTCGGAGGGAAGCCGGCAGTTCACCGAAGCTTTGTGTTCAGGCCTTGGCAATCTCGGAAGCTTCATGGAGTCTCAGAAAACAAGCGACTCGAATGACGAACCTTGCATAGCAGTGTCCCTCCTTTACGGACCCCTCAAAAAGGAGCCTTGCCCCAACGATGAGCGACTGCGCTCGCATGTGCTAGCTACTGCAAACATAACGTTCTCAAACTCTTCGCAAAAGCCGGATCCATAGCCTTGCCAACCGTCTTCCGCATCGAGCTGCGCCAAAAAACAATTGGCTCGAGGCCTTTCAGGGTTTTGCGGGGGTTCGGCATCGGATGTTTAGGGGTCTGGACAGAACGAACTTCACGGTCTAGGAGCTTCTTTGGGGGTGTTGGGTGTCTAAAGTTGACGTGGCTCTCGAATTTCTGGCAAGATCTTCGGCGATCGTAAAGGGCCTCACCTCATGCTTCCCTCAACTGCCCCCATTGCGGTTGCATGCAGCTTGCCCCGGAATGCCCACTGTGAAACAAGCGTTTTCGCGACCTGCTGTAGGGTAGGGCTCTGAGCTGTAAGGATCTACGATCTTGAGTTTGGGACGCCGGTTGGAGGTTTCTGGTTTAATGATATGGGGTCTTGGTTCAGGGTGGGCGGTGCGTGGAACAGAAACCCGCCAGCGAACACGAAGGAAGCGCAATCTTGACTTGATCTCATCATCCTCCCATCCTGAAGTTGGAATGCCGAAAGCCTGACTACACGTTGGCAAGAACCAGTTTCAGTGTTTCGAAGACTTGAATAGCAGAAGCCTGAAATCCAACTTGCGATGCTGCCGGGCAAGAAGGGTTCAGGCACGAAGAGTCTGTCATAATAATAATAATAATCATAGTAATCATAAAAATAATAATAATAGTGATTAATAATAACAATAATAATAATAATAATCGAGTCTTGCCCTTCAACAACTAAACTTCATCCCTAGCGCCCCCGGGCAGATTGCACTGAACCAGTCCTCTGTGCATTGCTGTAGAGTCAAAGGTCAGCTGCCTCCGCATCACACCTGGGAGGCCAGAAGAAATTGGGTTTGCTCTTAAATGCAAGCTGCTTAGGCCCTCAGACGAACCTGGACTGCTACATCAGGGCTTGTTGCTGCAGTGCGTTTCATGTATATGTGCAAAATAATTGCTAACCAGAGAGTGAGATGACATGATGTCAACATGTGCTAACGAATCGGTATAGATACAGATGCAAACTTCGATACGTGGGTTGGTGGATGGACGCCGGTAGACTTTGTATGTGCGGATGCTTAGCACAAAACTTCATGGTTGCATGCTGTTCGGGAACCCGTGCATGTATCTGATATACCTATGTGTATACACATACATACATACATACATACATACATCGATGCATACATGCACACACGCATACATGCATACATGCATGCGTGCATACGTGCATACATGCATACATACATTCTTGCATACATACATACATACATACATACATACATACATACGTATATCCATCCATGCATGCATGCATGCATGCATGCATGCATGCATGCATGCATGCATGCATGCAAACATATAAGCCTACATGCATGCATGCATGCAAAACAACATACATGTGTGTGTGCATGTAAAATACATACATACATACATACATACATACATGCATACATGCATACATGCATACATGCATACATACATTCATTCATACATAAATACATATGTAGATAGACAGATAGAAAGATAAATAGATGGATACATGCAGGGACCCGGGGAAGTGGGTCCCGGTTTCGTCCCCCCCCCTGAAGCTTAAATTCTGAAGCTTAAATTCGGCGCCTAAATTCGGTCGGTGCTGGCTGAAGCCGAAATTCGGCTGACGCTCATATTCGGCGCCGATATTCGATCCAGCAAACGAGTGAAGCCGAAAATGGCCCTGAC